TTGAGACTCAAAAATTTGATTTTTTGTGAAAACTTATCTTTTTTGTTTCAGAAGTTGTATCAGAATTATTGTTGAGATTGTTGCTAGAGGTAAGTTAATCAGTATTTTTTGAAGATATAAGATTAATATATTTTATAATACAATTAATAATAAAAGTTAGAGAATTAGTAGTAACATTATTTTTATTATTTTTTAATAATATTAAACATTTTAATTTGTTTAAAGAAAAAATTATATGAAGAAGTTATAGAATTAGAAAAGAAAAAGAAAAATGTGTAAAAGTAAAATAGATTATTTATTATTATTTAGAATTTTATTTTGTTTTTGTTTTTTGATAATTTTAAATATATGGTGGTGAGTCAACAGAAATCAAGCAAATTATATATGTAATACATATATAATTTGCTTGGTTTCTGTTGACTCACCCCCATATAGTCAAATTTCTCTATAGTCATATCTATTTATAATCACATTTCTTTATAATCACCTTATTTTGCTTTTCTATTTATATATAAATATAGTAAAAAAATCTCTCTATAGTTATCAAATTTTGCTTTCCTGAGAGTGGTAACTATAGAAAGATTTGATTGTAATTAAAAAAAGAAAATAAAAAAAATAATATAAAAAGAACGCTTAATGTATATATAATCTTTTGATATATTAAAAATGAATTTAATTTTTTTCTTTAATTAGATTTTTAAGTTTTTGCTGTTGAAAAATGTGATTTTATCTGATCAAGAAATTGATAGAGAAGAGATATAAAAAGAAGTTTATTATTTTTATTATTATAATTATAATATTATAATATTTTATAAATTTATTAATAAGTTTATTTTAATAAAAAGTTTAAATATTTCAATTTATTTATAATTAACTTTTTCTTTAATAAAATATTATATATTTAAAATTTAATATTTTTTTGTGATTATATTTTTTAGTAATAGTTTTTAATTATTTTTTCTAATTAATTATCTTATTATAATACTGTTATTGTTAATTTATATTTAATTAAGTTATTTGCTATATTTTTTAATATTCTTTAACACTTTTTAATACTTTTCTGCTAGTAAAATATTTTTTTATTTTATTGTGCTTATTTTTATTTTATTAGTTAATTATTATTAATTATTTTTTAGTTGCTTTTTAATAAAGTAATTATAATTATTTTTAATTTTTTTTAATTTATATTAAAATTTGAATTTTCCAGAATGATTTGATTATATTTTTAGATATTATATACTAATAATGATTTGGTGAATATTTTTTATTTTCTTTTTGTTATTTTTGAAGAAAATGTACAATTTCAATTAAAAATAATATAATTAATAAGAGATTTCCATTTTTAATTATAATTGATAAGCAATTGTTTTTGGTATAATATTTTTAGCTTCTTGCTATTAATTTTTTTTCAATAAATATTGTTACTATTTTTTCAATTCAATTCTGAATATTAATAGAATCTTATTGGTGAGTTTCTTGTACTGTGGTGCATTTTTTCTGAGTTAAAACTTATTTTTCAAGTTCTCTTGAATTAAATTTTTGTAGAAAGGAACTAATTATTATCTTTATAACTTCTTTTTATAAGCATGCTAATATTAAACTAATCCATTATTGCATGTTTCCAGTTTTTTTGTTGCCAACTATTTTTCATTAATTTTTTAATTCGCACCAAATTCTAAATTATTCATATGTACTATCTATTTTCTTCATTTCTGTCAGAGAACAGCAACTTACTAATTTCATTATTGTGGTTTACTCACGCCAGTTCTCAAAATCCCGAGTTATTAGTGGTATTAACTGTGTTGTTCGTTATTTTCCAATCGTATTTCTTTGCCACAATTTCTTTATTTACAACTCTTCTGTTGCCATTAGCATCATTGTTCCTGATTTATCTATCGTATGATTTATAAACCTGTAACTTTGCTCTTTTTTAATTTATCACATCTATTTTATTATATTAAGTACATGCATCACATATACATGTAAAACGAAATCAGACTAAAATGAAATCTCGTAACGATAATTACGTGTAAATAATTTTTAATGACAATTATGGAAAAGAGCTAAGTATGGATTCGAGTATAGAGTATTAAATTTTGTCATTGATATACCCTACTAAATTTGCCACAAAAAATAAGCCTTTATGACTTTCATTGTTGTGTAAAAGGCTTTTTTTAATACAACAAATGCATGTAGGCGATATGAAAAATTTTACGGGAGATATATTATTACCCTTTATTTTACCCATGTATGAAGTGATAACAAGTAAACGATGAAAATGTGCTGTATGTACATGTACTCTAAATACAGTACACATCGAGGAGTTAAATTCTAGATGAATAACGATAAATAAAATATGCAGTATAGAGTCTCGCTTCTGAGGTGGTACTTGGGCCATCCGAGACATAAGATTTTGAGAGCTAAGCTGAGGCGGATAAGACTTTACGCCTATTTAACCATGGGCGAGTACAAAGGTTGGACAGGTACAGATAGGGTCTAATGAACAAGCAAGAAGACCTCCTCCATTTGGTTCTCGCGGAGGGTCTTCTGCTTTTCGTATCTGAGCATGTTACTTGACTTGTGATTTTGTCATTTTCAATGCTCAGTGATGCATCGCAGTGTTTTTTCATAGCGGATGACTTTGAGGACTACGAGAGTTATTGGACGTCATAGCGTTTTTTCGTCGCAGATGCTGTCAAGATTACATAGGTCGTCAGATGTTGCAACGCACAGGTATGGATACAAGCAGAGAGTGCTCTGGAAGTTCTGCACATGGATATCTATCCTCTATCTGGACTCCTTTCACGTGTGAAAATGGAGATAATGTCGAGTGGGTTGTCTTTTCTCTTGCGTCTTGCAATTTTGACTAACGATGAGGTCCTGAAGTTCGCATGGCTCATTAAGGACGTTGTAAGGTGCGGATTAATAGAATCATATTTTTCAATATAAAATTGATTGTAAAGATGGTCTCCAGTCCCACATATCCTACACAATCTCATTAGGACCAAGTCTTTACATGCCCTTATAGGTTAAAAATCAAGATCTTCAGTATTACATATTGCAACTTAGTCGCAATTATTAAACTTTTGGATTAAAAATTAATGATATATGAAAGTGCAAATTTTTTATCTGATTGTTATTTCTTTTCACTTTAATAATTTGATTCGCGCGATGATCACACACCAAATCGGTCTTTTTGTTCCGGATACGATTAACAAATCAGGTGAAACCATCTTCTTATCGTTCTTTCTTTTATTACTTTGAAAACAATGTGCATCTTACGCGAAAGTACAATCTATGCTCGGTTCCTGATCACAAGATAACAAACCAATAAGAATGCGCAAATCATGTGTGCCGGCAACTATTTAAAGGTTGATTTTATCGTTTGGAGACAAAGTTATATGTAAAATTGCTTCCCGGCATTTTTGTTAGAGCTCCAAGTTAGATTTAGACATCTGTATCCCGTATTTTTCACAATTTTCATTTTTTGTGTCGGATTTGTTTTGCGAGGCTGATCAAAAATTTGCGCATCCTTATTGGTTTAGCATGTGCATGTGATCACAGATCGTTCTATCGCGCATCTTACACTTTACAGGCTTGTATACAATATGGTTATTGAGGCATTCCACAATAAAGATCATTTTGCTAGCCTAACTCACTTCCGCAGCCTTTGTCAGCAACGGATCGGTGATGGCACCTAAAGGTCCATACCATGTGTTGGATGAGCACGAGCGGCAGGGCAGCGACCGTATAATCGACTCTCGTTTCGCAGTCGCAAGGACCCGAGGGAACTTCCTTTTGGGTTTTGTTGGATGTGACTATCTTATTATAGGGTACAGGTTGGACGATTGTAGGCGGTATCTATCTATCATTGTCTGATTGAAGCCATCCGGATAAACTGAAAGTGGAGAAGCAATTTTGCTCCTTCAAATTGGATACGATTATTGAAAGTAGATTTGATGGTGCGAGAAGTTAATCGTTTTTCCACATTGTTCTCGTGATAAAATTTTATTTGTTCCGGAATTAATTGTTAGCCGGCGACAAAATATGAACAGTATAATCTGTTGTTGTAAAGTGATTCGGGAATGGAGAGGTTTTCCTTGCCGTGGCTTGTAGGGAGGACATGCTTTATTTGAGGTGTGGGTAGTCATCCCATCTCTACAACCTTTGGTTCAAGAACAAAAATTTCAGTAGTAAAATACGCCATTCTTTAGTTCTCATGTTTATTTTTTAAACGTTGATTGCGATTTTTTTATCTTGTTCCTTTTTCTTATATAGACCATTTATAAAGAATAATTGAATTATAGAATGCGAATGCTGTTATGTTTACTTACTTTCTTCAGATTCCTTTTGCAACTATGGACGGCTATTTCGTTGAAGTATATTATCCGCACGTTGTTTTAACATGATTGCAACAAAGAATTCTAAGCAGATGGGACAAACGATAAATACTTGCTCTTTGCGCCTTCAGACCATAAACATCGAAGAAACTTGGTTGAATATTATTACCATCAGCTATGGATTTCTCAACTATTTCCACCATTAAACACTCTTTCTTTAAAGCCAAATCCTTTAATTGCCAATAAACTCTTCAATGACTTTAAAGTTTAACGATTTCATGCGATTATTGTTCTTTTTCGCCAAATACAAACTTTCGTTTCTCTACACGAACAAGTTACAGAATAATTTATTAAATTTTACGATGTGTGGTAAGGATTTGCGAACTACCTGTTTCAGAGAAAATTGTGTTTTAATTAATTACGTACGTACGTAATACCGATATGTACTCATTCATGTGGTGAATTAAAATCATTTCACGGTGATTGATTATTGGATGACCATCATACATGTACAAAAAATCAACAAATGTTTGTTAGTGGTGCTACCTATTACATGTATTTCCCTACCTTTTTTACTGCGCGATATTTTTAGTATTTTCATATTTTCGATTTCATATCGTCTTTCTACATGAATACATACATTAATATCCACACATAATTATGATCATAGGTTTGACCAGAGAAAAATTATTAAACAAGGTTTGTTGCTTTGCTTTTTTGTTTATCTATGGATATAATTTATTACGAAACAAAAATCGACTATATATCTTTTATTAAATAATAACCGACAATGATAAAAGACATATGGACCGAATAATAATAATACAACACACAATAAAAAATACTTTGTTAAAAATAACGGAGTAATAACGACTAAGCCACCGCCGCCTTCATTACTAAAACAACCACCTCCAATAATACTGAGTACTAGATCATCCACAACAACCACTACACAACCATCTCTCATAAAACAATCAATATTTCAATATGAAAGCAATTGGTCGCCGAAGAAAAAGGCCATGGTTGCAATGAGACGCAAGAAATGGCAAGAAGGAATCAAATGGTACACATTTCATCTGCAAGAATCGTTACGAACCCGAAATCGTAACAGTTTCGTGTGCTCGAGTCGAACAAAACGTAAATTAGAGAATGAGGATTACATGATTCGATGTAGACGTGCGATTGCATACGGGATGCTAAAGGACTTTGAAATCGTATTGCAAGAGGCAAATATTATTCTTCGTCGAAAGCCACGTCTGAAATTAGCATTGTTGATACGGGCTGCCGCGTATTTCCACGTAAATAAATTCCAACAAGCACTTGCGGAACTTGAAACTATTCTAATATGGTTTCCGAATGATACGTTTGCTCTTGGAGGTCGTGCTTCGATTTATTTGAAAATGGGAGCTTATACGTTAGCACGTATGAACTTGGAGAAACTTTTTCGATGCAATATTCGAGACCCAATTGTTGAGAGTCTGCACTGTCCAATGTATATATCACCACTGAAATTCTCGAAAAAGGCATTTATCGAGGAGCTAATACAAGGTCACGCTGGAAATATTTATGCGATGGGCGATTTTGACTTGAGACTTGAGATGATACATGAGAAAGTTTCCATTTTACGACTTTGGGGTTTGGCTTTGCGAAAATTGAATCGATGTGACGAAGCATTGGAAAAGTATAATCGTGCATTGAAAATCAAACCTTGGAGTATTTGTGCGTTGAAACATCGTGCAGACGCTTACTACTTTCTAAATCGATATCGTGAAGCATTGACAGATGTGAGACAAGTCTTGAAGCGTCGAAGTCATAGTGCAACGGCTTTAAAAATTCAGAGTGATTCTTATTATCAACTTCATCGTTATGACGAATCATTAGCAGTACTAAATCAGATCCTGAAACAAGATCCAGATGATTCTTTTGCATTACGAGATCGTGGAAAAGTTCTCATCAAAAAAGAGCAGTATGGACAAGCAATTCTCGACTTCACAGCTGCACTCAAAATTCGACCGAAAAGTGTCACCACACTAGAGAAACGAGGTGAAGTGTTTCGAAAATTACGCCGACTGGACAATGCCATCGCAGATTTCAGCGCTGCATTACAACTTGAGCCGGATAATATTTCCCTGTTGAAGAATCGCAGTGATGTTTACTATCAACAGGGATACTATGCGAAAGCACTCGTTGACCTGGAACATATTCTGAAATTGGATCCGGACAATTTTTGTGCGATTCGTGATCGTGGTGACGTTTATTGTATGCAGCATCGATATGAAGAGGCTTTGCAGGATTTTAATGCCGCTTTGAAATTAAGGCCGGATAGTTCTTCGGCATTGGCGAGTCGAGGAGATGTTTATCGTAGAATGGGAATGTGCGAGGAAGCATTAATTGGTTTGTTGATAGAAATATTTTTATTGAATGAAATTTTGGTGTATATTAGAAATCAAAGCTTAAAAATAATTTCTAGACCTTAACCGAGCCTTGAGACATAAACCCACAAATGCAACAGCGTTTAAATATCGCGGAGAATTGAATCGAACTCTTGGACGTTTTGATGATGCGTTACGAGATTTTGACGCAGGCCTCAAATACAAACCTGTATGTAGGCTAAAATATATATTAATTGGATTAAATAAATTGCGACTGAATCTAAAAATTGTAAATTTTAGGATAGCCCATCAACTCTGAAATTCCGTGCAAAAGTTTATTGTTTGCAATCACGATTCGATGACGCAATCAAAGATCTAGATCAAGCATTAAAAATAAAAAAAGACAGCGTGTCAACACTGTGTCGTCGTGCCGAAACCTGTTGCATGATGGGCAACCCGCACGAAGGACTCGCCGACGCAGGCAAAGCCGTCTCAATCAAAGCAAACCCCATGGCGCTTCGTTGTCGCAGCAAAATCTATCTATTATTGGACCGCCGAGAAGACGCACTACAAGATCTCGACCGGTACCTGCGTTTGGAATGGAAAGACTTGTCCGCATTGTGTGATCGCGGTGAAATCTATTTCCGGATGGGACTTTCCGATTTGGCATTAAACGATTTCAACCGTGCGCTACGACAAAACCCTACGAATCTTGTGGCGTTGTGTACACGAGCCGAATTGTTGTTGCTGATAAATAGAAATCAAGAGGCGTTGGTCGATTTGAATAATGCTATCGCGGCTCATTCAACGAGTGCTTGGCCGCTTTTCCTTCGCGCTAAAGTAAATTTGGCGCTGCAACTTTATTCCGAGGCCACAATTGATATCGAGAGGGCTTGTTGGTTGGAACCGAGATTTGATTTCGGAATTTTGGATGATCTTGAAATCACTAGGATAATTTGTCAAGTAAAGCACGATGTGATGAATTCTTACTTATAAATTAGTACTGACTGTAATTAATGTTTGTCGTTTGTTCAATTTGCTTATTTACCGTCTTTTGTAAAGTATTTTGTTTAACACACAAAATAAGATTATATTACGTACGTAGTAAATACATTAATTATCGTTATGTTTGTCCTTCGAATATTTCAAACTAGTACATGTACATGTATATTTTTGTAGATCATACTTACATAATCTAAAATAGTTCATAAAATTTTTTCTCGCTTTGACAAGAATATTCATTATATTGCAACAAATATAACAATATATCATCACCACACGCACTCAATAAAAAAAATCAGAATCAAAATCACTAGAGAAATATAATTGTGTGGTTGATTGAAATCAACAGGAATAGATCTTTGATTGATTAATTCAATGGGAGTGAAACGACAGAAAGGTATAAATACAATCCTGCTCGTTGTTTATTATGTCATTTCAAATATTTCGATTTTTTTTTGTTTTACATGGAGAATTTTAAATTAAATGATAAAAATATAGTAAATTAATTGAGCAGCAAATTGAAAAAACTACAAAGAGACAAAAATCAAAAATCAAAATCCTTATCCAAAGCACAATGAATTTTTCTCAAGCGGCGAACCAACACCAAGAGCTAAACGTAGAAGTACACGGACCACAACAACGTTATAAAAAATCTAAAATTTTAGAAGAAGAGTTGGAGCATACAGAGTTTCGATTCCCGGAATGGATTATGGCGGTAAGAGCTGATTATTTTGTATATATCGATATCGGTATTATTGTTTGATCAATACCGATACGTTAATACGTTTATCTGTATTGACTAAATTCTAAAATTGGAATAACAAAGCAAAATCCACCATACCTGACATGCGAAAATGTCCTCGAATATTTCGCGCAATCACCATTCTGGGATCCTCATTCTGCCAATGCAAACTTGAAAATGCAGTCTCAGTTCAACAAGTTGTTGCGAAATAAATCAACTGAAGAGTTGTTAAAGTGAGTCGTGTTTTAAAAGTTCTTTTTTTCCAAATGCCTGCATTAAAGTCATTTTGTAATTATACTAATTGAATGCATCAGAAAAATTACAGGACTCCAATTTATGGTGCATCCAGAGAAGTCGAAACCGCCCAATTTGTTTATAATACAGAAGATAGATAGAAAGAACAAAGACGATTGTAATTTATTGTTTTTGCATTTTTTTAGATTCGATAAATCAATGAATGTCTAGTGATAATATGAATCTAATTTTATAACTTTATTTAGTTGCAATACTTCAAACATATTATTGTATAAATGCGAGAATATATCTGGCTCCAAGTTTTTATAACGTGATGGCAAATCGAACTGTACGTTATTTCTTTTTCTTTCCTTAATTCTTTGCATTTTCACTCATTTCTTTTTTGCAAAAAAAAAAAGATGACTAGTATGAAACACATACATACGGCATTCAATGCCATATATGACACAGTCGAATTTCATCCTGCCACCGGGTATTCATACAAAGGCCAAGATGAATCTTTAGCGCTGGGAAATAATCCAAGTATGTATTCCTAACCTGGACTCGATTCTTTTTTGTGAAATATAATCATAGATATTTTTTAATAGTGCTCGAAATAGAACCCAAAGAATCATTACAATTTCAAAATGATTTTATGAATTCTATGAATTACGCATTTGCGCGCACACAACAAAAGTGTGGATTGCAAACTAATAGGTTTGGTAGGGAGTTGAGTGATATGTCGGTTTTTGAGGAAGAAGAGATTTCGAATCTGTCGCAAACACCTGGTGAGGTAGGTTACGCGCGTGAAGTGGAACAAATAAAGGAGTAAATTCATACTAATTGGAATCATGTAAAAATAGGAGCTGTCGGAGACTGCTACGCCTGAAACACCAACAACTCCTACAACACCTGGGAGGAAAGGTAATTTTGGAACTTTGAATCATTTTCTTTCAGTAATTTACATCGTAGAATTTATATTTTTCTCTATATTTAATAAAATATAGAGCGCAAATCCAAAAAGATACATCGTCACAAGAAGAGCGATGAAACTGCAAATATTAAGGATGAAATTTCAAAACCGAAAAAGAAGAAAAAGTATTTATTTCCTGTCTTGTTAATTTATATTTTTTTATTGATCGTAGTCATTTTTAATATTATTCAAAGAACGCTAAAACGTGAAAAACAAGATGATACCGACCTTACAGACGACAAAACTCCGAATGAATCTTCTTCATCCTCTAAAACACCAACGAATCCATCACAAGAAACTACTCCCCGGCAAACTTCGGATCAAACCGCTAGTACTACTTCCTCGGTGCATATCAACGTAGCGACTTCTCTACCACTTCAATTTTCCTCTAATTTGGTATTGCCTCAACTTCCACAACATCAAATCTCTTCTTCCCACCGAGCTCAATCTTTGAATCTTAACTTCAGCAACAATAGTAGTATCATTTTTGGATCGGGACAACAAATACAACAAGATCCACAAAATCAGATTTCAAGAAATTTTAATGAGCAAAGACAAGAAAAAATGCAATGGGAAGCATTGCAATTCGATTTTATTGGAGAGCATAATTGGGATTTTTCAACTGACTTGTCGGATGCTGATGCTGCTTTACTTGCGTCCTTACAGTTGCCTGATAGTGATCAAATGTTTCAAAATGATAATAAGTATTGACCTAAGAAGCATATGGAATAACAATTTATTATTTTCTTAATCGGCATTATATCGATATGGAATTATAAATTTAAAGAATTAAAGGAAAAAAAAATATTTTATTCCCATAACTAATTATACACAAGGATTAAACCTTCACAATTAACGCCCGCTCGACACTTTTGTGAATAACTTCTCAGCGCGCCCTTTTTCAGTTGCTTTTTCAAAACAATCGCATATTATTTGAACGTATACAAAATATTTATTACCAATATCTTCAGTAAGTAGAATGGAAGTTACAGCAAAAATAATCTTTTAAGAAAATCTATCGCCCTAAGAAATTTTTTGGCGCTAATACTTTGGCGAGCAAGCATTTCGCTTGTCTGTATGTCCAATTTTGATTATTAACAATTGCGTTGTTCATGTCAATATCATTCTCCGCTCTCATAAATAGCATTTATGCACATATTTTGATATATTACTATTCAATAAAAAGAATAATAAGTATATATAACTTAGTTCTGACAAAAAAACAAAAATTGAGATGCTGATTTATAATCATATAAATGAGTATAGTGAGCTTAAATCTAATTAATTAATTTTTAAAATATATTACTGTATATTTAATTTTCTATAAAAAAGATAATTATAAATTTTAAATGAATTTACAATTACAGAGATGAATTTGTAAATAATAAAATTTTTTTAATTTAGTATATTATTACAAATTTGTTTACTAATTAATAAATTAGCTTATAAATTTGAAAAGAGAATTAAACAAAGAGATAAAAGATAATATTAAAAAAAAGTATTGAAATTCTATATTAATTTTATTAAAATTATTATAGTTTAAAAAAATAAAAATATAAGAGTTATAAGAAAGTAAAAATAAAAAAAAGAGAAATATTATAATACAAAAAAAAATATAAGATAAAAAAATTCCAGAGTTAGAAAAATATAATTAGTAATAAAAAATAACAAATCTTTTTTACTTTGTTCTTATAAATATAATTTTTGATATAAGAAATTCTCAATCTAAAAAAATTAATTATTTTATAATAAATTTATTTGATATAAGAAAGTTACTAATAAATACTTAATATGATTAATTTTTAATATAAGAAATTCTTAATATAAGAAAGACTAATTAAAATTTGATATAAAAAAGTTAAGCTCAAAGTTACTTTATAATAAATTTATTTAATACAAGAAAATTATTAATAAACTTTTAATATAAGAAGATTTATAAATTTTAATTATATCTTTTTTATATTAAAAGCCAGTTATATAAGAAAATTTTATAAATTTTTATTATAAATTCATATAACTTTTTTATATTAAAAACAAATTTTATTAAAATTTAAATAACTAGTAAAAACAAAAATATTTAGTTTAATTCAAAATTCCAAAATTTTAATTAAAGTATTTTAATAAACTTAATATTTTCTTTTATATATTTCAATATATATATATAAGTAATTTTGAATTATATTAAAGACTAAAGAATTTTATTTATTATATTTTTTTCAAGTTATAGTATATTTAAATAAGAGTTCAGATATTATTTTTATTTTTATATTTTTAATAAATTTAAAGTAAAAAAAAATAAATTAAAAAAAATAATTCATTATATAAAAAATAAAAGTAAATAAAAAAGTAAATAAAAAATAAAAAAAGTAAAATAATTTATTATATAATAAAAAATAAAAAAGTGAAATAATTTACTATAAAAAAAGTAAAAAATAAAATAAAAATAAAAGTAAAATAAAAAGTTAAATAATTTATTATCTAAAAATAAAAAATAAAAATAAATATTTTTTATAAGGAATTTTTTCTATTTTTGAATATTTTATATTTTTTATATTTTGAAATTTTTATTATTTTCTTAATAGAATTTATATTATTAAATTATTAAAAAGATAAAAATAAATTAGGAATTAATTATAAAAAAGTTTTATTTTTTAAATTTATATTTAAATAACAATAATATTTTATATAATAAATTTTTATCTAAATTAATATTAATTTTTATTATATATTCTTAAAAAATTTATTTAAGAAATTTATTTATTAAAATTATTTATAAATATAATTTCCTAATTAATATATTTAATTTATAATCTGATACAAAAAGATTTATATTTCAAAAAATTATTAATAAATTATTTTAATATAAATTTTTAATTTAATTTTATTTAATTAAGTTATTAAATATTAGAATTTACTTTAATATACAAATAATTAAATAATATACTAATTATTAAAATACAGATTTTTTTCTTATATAAGTTTTCAATTTTATTAATAAATATTTTTTATTATTATATTAAAATAAAAATAATATTACATATTTTTTTTCAGATTCTTATATTTAATTTAAAAAAGTTATTTTAATTAAAATAAAAAATAGTTATTAATAAAATTAAAAACTTTTATATAAAGAAAAAAACTCATATTTACTATATTTAATTGTCATTATATATTTTTAATTATATATATATATAATTTTACTAAATTTTTATTTAATAAAATTTATTATTATAAATTCGATTGAAATTAATATAAAATATATATTTTGAGAATTAATTTTATAATAATTATTAATTCAATTTTTATAAAATTTGAAATATATTTTAATATTATAAATTCAAAAAATACTATTTAAAATATATTTTCTAAATAAAATAATTTTTGTTTTATTTTTTTAGTTAAGTATTGTTTTATTTATTATTAAATAAAATTATAAAATAATAATATAAATAATATAAATTATTAATTTGGATTATTCTTTATTTAGAATAAAAAATTATTTATATTTTATAATTCTAAAATTATATTTTAAAATAAATAAATAATACAAAATTAATATTAAACAAATAATAAATAACAAAATAATTATTATAAATTGTTAAAATATAAATATCAAAAATTGAAGTATATTATAAAAACATTATTTATTTTAACTTGTTAATACAAGATAATAAATTATTTCTATTTTAGAAATAAAAAAGAATCTATATAAAAATGAAATGAAAAACTTATAATTTATGAAATTATATAATTAAAAAAATTATTATTATAATAATACTAATCTAAATTTAATTCATTGTGTTATTGTAGTAAAAATTGACGTAAAGCGTAGGGGTTGCCCATGACTCTTTGAGTCTTCCCTATAGGCCTGCTTTGCAATAAAAATTTCTGGTCCTTTCCCGTCCAAGTCTATAAATAAATTCTGATCTGTGATTTTTTATATAAAAAGGCGGAGAAAAAATATCTGTGACCCCTTTACTCCTTCCTTATAATAATTAACGATTTGGGGGAATAAAACATTTAACAAATTTTAATAAATCTCACCCACGATAAATAAAAAGATTCATACACTCGAAATAATATCTAATTTCTAACGATTAAGGTTTGTTTATTTGTTTATATGCTATTACACCTCCCCCACATTCGTGTATATATGCTAATAGACAAATTTCCACTTACGTATAGATTTCATCGCTTGCTGTTTCGGGAATCGCTCCATTTTTGGATTTCGCCGGCCTATTGATGTTCGTCGAGAAAATTTCCATTTACTTGCTTGGTGCCACGTTTTATTTTTCACGTATCACCAAGCAAGACATCGACGTCAAGCATAATTCCGACCCTTCTGCACGTGATACCACGTTTAATGAAATTCTTGCCAATCGTGATGCCAGGTTCTTAACCGAACTCACCGATTACCGTGCCAAATTTAACGCTGAACTTACCTCACGCGACGAAAACTTTACAGCGGAGGTCCAAAGAATCTTGACAATGCTAAATACTTCTACTGCGAGACTCGACGAAATCGAACGTGTCTTCCAAGCTTACAATAACAATTTTGAAAGGATTTTATTAGAATTTGCATCAATTAGAGAAACTATCGTAATACTCCAAAACGGGAAACACTATGCGATCGTCCGAAGAATCGATCCTATCGAGGAGCCAGAACTTCAAGATATTGCTCTATCCGACCAGCAAAGTGAAGCAAATTTATCCGAAAATTCTTCCGAAAGCTCTGGTTCGAGCCAACGATCATTTTCAGCTTATACTGAAGTAATATGACAGTTTAATATAATTATGACAGAAAGGGGATGTTCTTTAGACGAAATGTGTAATATCGTAGCAGTTGAAATTCTTAATCTTAGAATAGGAAAGCTTGGTAAAGATTCAATCAAAATTATTATCATAAAATTAATGATTTAAAAGGTAGTAAATTAGACAAAATCGTACTTGGATCGATAATTATCATAAAATTAATGATTTAAAAGGTAGTAAATTAGACAAAATCGGTACTTGGATCGATAGTAAAGCAAATAATAGTGAGTAGCAGGAAAGGAACTCTCATTTTATGGGTTAGGGCTCGAGATGTTCCTCCCTTGAAATATCCACTACTCTATCAATTTATTATAGTTTATAAAGTTTTCGCCCACATCGGGATTTAATGTACGAGCATGTGAAAACAAATACACAGAAAATAAAACTATTTTCCAACCTGATCGTAATCGCCCAGTCATCTGATCACCTTGTGTGACAATCATTCTTATATATTAGCCAATAAGTTCTGCACCTGAAAAACTTTTTTACAATGCGTCTTTCAACTTTATTTTCACGATGGAGCATTTTCTTAAACCGTATGTATTGGATTTACCTTACTACATTTTCTTTAGGATATAAATTTTATGTCTATTGTTCATTTACATAAGGCTTGTCTGGTCGTTCCAACTATCAATTACCTCCCGAGGTTGGCCGTTTTTCAGGAAAAAAGTGGAGTGAAATTTCAGGTATTAGTATTAATGCACAAAAACTTAATCTCATTTATTTTATGCTCGTATGCTTTGTTTTACTCATATCCATGCAAATACTTTACTCTAGCCCGCACGGCTCAAAAAGATTTGCAAAAAGAAGCGCAAAATTATGTCATCCGCAAAAATTGGGATCTTTATTCGAGTTTACTAGACAAGTGAATGTAACGACAACAAACTCCAAAAGATATTCAACAAATGATCCCCACAATGATAATGAATCAAGTTGGATGATTTTATTGAAAGTCATAATTTGATAATGAATGGTATGGGTCAACAACAGCATATTATGGACATTGGCTTATTAGAATCCGCCTTTCATAGGCCGAAGTTCATGTTTTTTTATGAAAAAGCATCACTATATAGAATGGCCGCCGGTCTCGGAGAGAGTATCATTAAGAACCATCCATTTTTGGATGGGAATAAGAGAGCCGGTCACCTTTCCATTTCTGCATTTTTACTTCTCAATGGTTATGATTTGGTTGCGGATAAAGTGTCAACTGAGAAAATTACGTTGGGTGTAGCGATGGGTAATATTAATATAGATATTCTGGAGTCTTGGATTGCTAGTAATGTAAAACCTTATGAATGAAAATCTTGCATGTACCTCCTCAACTATAAAACTTGAAAAGATCTTTGATGTGAATCTGCCCGTGTAACATTGTAATGAAAAATAGCATGATTGCATTAACACATTTCTTTCATTTTAGCATTTACGCATACGATGCAAATTAAAAACGAAAGTGGTAATGCTAAAGTGTGATTTAAGGTTTGTTAGCATATGCGCACCGGCCACCTCTTATATTTATTCAATTATATTAATCGTATTTTTCCACCTATAGATATTCCTGATTTATATGATTCCTAACTCCCTAAGAAATTCCAGAATAACTATATGCGGATCCTTATAATACCAAACATATCTTAGAACAACCCAATTTTCTTCGCAGAGCTCTTTTTTGATCCGATCACGCATCTTTTCAAATTCTTCCGGATCTTTGTGAAAGTGTTTTACGTATTGTTCATGTTGTTTACCTTGTACCTCTATAGCAAATCCATATTGCGGATAGTAAATATCAAGTTCTAGTCCTCGAGGATACTCTGGTGTTTTCAAGAAATCTGGTCGGTGAATATCAGAGGGTGGGCCAAGAATATTTGTCATAATGTCACGGCATAGCTTTTCGTGTTTGTTTAAGCAATGTGGACACCATGTTTTCGCATGTTTTATACCATTAAAACTCGCAAACCATTTATGCCCTTTATCACACATCCATTGCATCGGAACACAAAGATTGATGTATTCCGTAGAAAGACACATACCTCCTCTACTGTGAGCGATTTCCTTAGCTTCCATAAGACCACAAAGAACATTACCAGCACATTGTGGACACCGACTCTTATTCTTTACACTAGCAAGAGGTGCAGTCCATTCATGTCCTTTGGCGCATCTCCAATGCATTGGAGTATTTACATTGATATATTCTGTAGAAAGGCATTCACCACCACGTTTTGTGCAATACTAATTGCTATGTCAACATTAAGATATTGGCACTGTTGACACCAAGTTCCTTTAATAATATCCTTAGCCGAAGCCTTCCATTCATGACCTTCTTTACACTGCCATTCGAGAGGATCTCGTCTATTAATATACTCAGTTGCAAGGCAACGACCTCTTTTTTTCTGCAAACTTCCTCATATCTTCGATCGTTCGAGTACGATGATTTTCAACTGCACACCATGGACACCATGTTTTTTCATTTTTTATGCTAGTAAGTCTTGCGGACCATTAGCACATTTCCAAAACATTGGCATCTGACAATTGATATATTTTTCAGAAATGCTTTCATCTCCTCTACTACGTGCAATCTCTTTAGCAATATCTAAAGTTAATTTTGCCATTAATAATTTATACTAAATTTCAAAAGGCTGGTGTGTTTTCCTCCCTTTAAGCGTAATCTACTCAATTATTAATTAGCCGGTCTCTTACTCTCTTTCAATATAATAAAGATATGATTATAGCACTACGTGCCTGATCTTTTAATTATTGTCTTTTGTGAAAGGATTCAAAAAATTAAGTAGTTCATTAATCAAGCATCCAAAAGCTTCGACCTATAACCAAATAATTTATAGTACATATTGCAGATAAGTGTTTAATATATATGTTCTAATATCAGAATTCAATTCAAATAGTAATAGTGAAAGCATAGTGATTTCAAATATTAATGTCATTGATCAATTTAACTCGATATTCACTAGCATAATCAATTTTTTCAGATAATTGTTATGCATTATTTATCAGGCATATTAAGTTATATAGTCACACTGAGAAATTAATTATATGCTTGTAGTACACCAAAATAGATCTCTCATATCAAAAATAGATCCCACATTCATGGAGATGTATCATAGCTGTTTCATATGCTCCATCAATTATCATGAGCAATGATTTATAACCAGATAGACAAAGTCCATTGCAAAGCAATATTGTTACCATATTATATAAGTCCTTGGGAGAGCTGGTGAGTGCTTAATAACATTATAATAAGTTACTTGGCCAGGGTAATTATAGTAAAGTTTATTAAGAATGATGGGTGGGAGAGTATAATATAATCAAATCTATATAATGCATCAAGCATTAAACTATAATTATAAATGAATCTAAAGGAAGGTAACAGTGTGTTCATGATGTGGTCAGCTAGAATGAGACCTGGGATTTTTAATAATAGTGTTTAATTAAGGATTTTATGTAATAAATATGTAATTTCATTATAAGATCATAATTCAATAATAATAAAG